CAACATGCATGAATATGCATTTACACATACGACTAAGAACGTACATGCATATGTGTTTACATATACCGCTTACAACAAGCATGCATATGTGTTCACATATACCACTTACAACATGCATGCATTTGTGTTTACATATACCACTTACAATCAAAAACACTAATATCTACTCACCTCTCTGGCTTGTTCTTGTCCCACCAAACCGCTCCCTACTTGTAGCACATTACCATCGTCGTCTAATCCCAACCCAGTTATATGACTGTGAGCTGCCACTCTGAGTTGCCTTGTTGTCGACTTTACACCATCCATCTTAACTGGGCCTCCAGGCACTACCGCCGCTGCTGCTGTTTCTGCCATCTCTGTAACGTTGGTTTTTGTTTATATATAATACTTAATATGATACAGATGAATTGCTGAGAGTTAGGCTGCTATGTTGCAAGGACCGTTCGTATGGATTGGTAGCTCTAATTCTACAGTATATCTATCCTATCGTGAAGTAATATGTAAGCACTGAGGCGTGTTCAGATACTGCGGTATACTAAACACTACGAACACTGGCGTACATATCAGTACAGGCACGTGTGGGCGGGAAAACGGATATTGACATATATCGCCTTGTTGTTGGGTTTCTAATATTGTGTGAATACCCTGGATTCTACAATCTATTTATAGACCACTTTCATCCTACTCACAACGACAGTAAATACCACATACATATTTACTGCATCGACTTCGCGTGGGAATGTGACTATGAGGCAGAGGATATAGTTTTGAGAGATTAATGTATATCGGTCAAAAGCCTCTTTGTTTATAAAAATTTCTCTAATAAGCAAACCATTTCGCTGTACTTGTTTGTATTTATATCTTGGTATAACGTTTGCAGCTGACTTCATAGATCACAATCACCGTGGGTGTACGTGTCTAAGTAGATGCGTTTAGCTTTAAAGCCAATCTCTCTGCGGCCATAGTCTCAGTTCGGGAATATATTTGGGCGTCAGTATATATATACCTATA